TGGAAATCTAAATCTCTTCAATGGTTTCTTTATGAATTTCCACTTGTGCCTTTTATTCTTCGCCTAAAAACTAAGTTTGAACTTACACTTGATTGAATTCTTGAAATCCCTTTTAATTCTCTCACAAAAACTATGAATTTTGTCTTATTTGATAATAATAATTAATGAATATTGGAGTTTAATATGTATATGAGAGGTGTAGGATAGGTTTTTAATGTATATTGATGTTAGGTATTTATAAGATTCAAAAATTGGTTAAGAATCATGACCAAATTGGTTTCTGAAAGAGTTTCAATCAAATAAGGAATGTTACTCTCGCGTGCACATGTTTTTCTCTGCACAACAGTTAGCTATGTGGTCGTAACTTTCTCTTGCGATGTCCGATTGAGGTAATTCAAAGTTCATCGAAAAGATACTCGAAGAGCTACAATTTTATTGGAACATAGAAATTTTCCAATTTAGAAATTGTGATCTATGTAAAAAATGTTCTCAATTTTTGGTTAAAAATTTGGAATATAACTTGTGTGATTAGATTTGTGATAATATTTTGATCATATTCTATTCCTTGTTTACTTCAAATTGAATTCAATCAACTCCTATCATTCTTCAAAGTATCATCTTGTGGTCTTAATCATGGATATTTGTAATTTGCTCCTCAAACTTAGTACTTCATCATTTTTTGCTCCTTTTCCCTTCTTTCATTCAATTCTACTTCCAATTATCGAGTTTAACCTAATAAATAAAATATAAATAAATAATGCTATAATTAATTAAATAAATTATTAAATGTCCATATTTTTAGGTCCAAATGAATGTATAAAATGTATTTATCATCTTATAATTCCAAGATTTTGGGAATCAAGTTCCCATGTTAAGGAAAAAATAAAACACATGAGAGAGTATTTTTACATGTGATTTCGATAAGAAAACACCCATCGACTGTTGAAGAAACATTAGCACAAGAAATAATCTGCACATACTATGAGTTCTATACAAAAACCTATTCGGCACTTATTATTGCTAGAGCTTTTCCCGAAGTCATAGTTAAAGAACAATATTTACGAAAAAATATCAAGTTGAAATCAGCACAATAAACGGCTATTGGCATTATTACACTACATTATGCAGATGAAAATAAAGTTTATGCAATATCGAGTGAACAAATATGATATTTGTAATTCTTGAAGCAATTAAAATTACTTTTATACTCCAGAGCTAACATTTCAGTTTAGGATTTAGAAAATCATGTCCGCCATCGTTAAACGAACCTCCGCTGCTTGAAGGATGATGATCGATAGCCAAGAAATGTTCCAATAGCCTTCCATGCCCGCCATTGTTTGAATACTATGTATCACATGCGCTACCAGCAAAGATTTTCCTTAATAGCTAAAAATGCTTATGCCACTTATGAATCTCAACTCCGATTGGAAAAAGGAAATTGTGAGTGTTATGCGTTAGGTCCAATCAATTTTGGACGTAAATATTTTTAATATTATTAATGTAATTTTTTATGGCAGAATATTTAATTAAATTATTATTCTGACAAATTCAATCAATAGAGTTCGTAGATTCGAGTCTTAGTAACTTGTTAATCACAAGGAGTTGCAATTGCGAGAAACAAATTATGTGTGACTAAATATTAAATTATCCATAGCTTTAAATAATAATGAGATACATATATCGTTATTACTAAAAGATTAGCACTTTTAGCATTTTTCACTTATGAAGTAGGTAGCTGATCTCAGAAAATAAAATGTGGCCCCATTTAAATAAACGTATGGATGTTTTTGTTAAGAGAGAAAAACATTGGAGACCCATTGAATATATTCCACATGAATAACTATCTAAACGTCAGTGGTTACTCTCTAACTTTTGGTAATGAAATTGGTCCTTCAACTTGATGTGATTATAATGCCTTATATGAGGACAATCATACTTTGATGATATTGGATATTACTCAACCAAGAGTCGCTGATACAGTATTCTTTTGGTATGTCAAATCAAAAAGAAGATTGCAATTGTCAATGATCAATAAAGGATTCATAGCTATTAGATAGTAAGATATTATGATCTACTATTTAATCGGTTAAGTTGATATCAAAATTCTTGGCCAAGATAAGTATGTAAGTCGAAAAGAGTTTTGACTATTGTTGACTTTAAAGTAGGATGAAAGATATGAACAATAATTGAAATTGAAACACTTTCACATCTCGTAATTGATCGGATCATTTTGACAATGTAACGACCCAAATTTTAAAGTTTAAAGCCGTTTGAGCCCCATCATTTGTAAATTATAATGAGATGAATAATGTTTTTTTGAAAAATGAGTGGTTGAAAAGTTTTTGATTTACGCGTAATATTATTTTATTGAAGATTGTGTGGTTAAAAGTAAGAGAGAGAAAAATTTAATTTAATGTAATGAGAAATAATAGGGCTCAAACAGGGGCTAAATCACTAGTAAATTTATTTATTTCAACAGTGTAAGTACATGAAATCAACTAGTACAAATTAATTAATAGAAGAAACTCATAATTAAATAAAATATATTCCAAATAAATACTAAAATCCATGCATATAACATTTATTAGATAAAAAATAAAATGTTAATTCCACTAATATAGCTTAACATAGAATGAAATTTACAACCTGATAAATCATGTCTTATATTTCTAAATAAAAAATCCTTATGAAATAAACCAAGAAAATGCTGAAAATAAAAAACTCTCATGTTACACTGGATTATTTTATGGAGTCCCATAAATCCTAGCATTACGACTGTCCCTTATCACCCGCCAACCAACGAACCCGTTCCAACCTGTAAGAAGTAGGGAAAAATGGTGAGCAAATGAGAATACTCAATAAGACGAAAACAATTAATGGTACAATCCCAAATAAAAATATTTAATTCATGTGTCAAAAATATCATACATCCATAATATTTTTAGGGATCGGTAATAGCTCAATACATATTATATCTTTGGTATTGGATGGCCATATCATACATATCGTATCATATCTTTGACTTTCATAAACATAATAATTTAACAACATAAAAAATAAATTAAATGGGATAAAATCAACAGCACCCCGTTATCCTACCTCGGTTGATCAATCAAATTTTCAAAGAAGGAAAATGCACGTTTCCAATATTTATTTTCTCTCTACTAGGTGGATCTCTCTTGTTCCTGTTTAATCTCTTTCATTTTGAAAGCTATTTCCCACTCAATAACTAGAATAAAAAAATGGGGGAATGTCAATGTATCTGGGAAAAAAGATTAATCAAGGGCACCTTGTTATCCTTCCTAGCTTGATCAATCAAATTTTGAAAGAAGAAGAAAGCATGTTTCCAATATTTATTTTCTACCTACTACTGCAGTTATGTGCGTATGTATATTCTGATGTGAGTATAAAGAGATAAATGCATAGTATTTAAGTTAAAAATGACTATTGAATTTTTGGTAGAATAGAATTACATTGAGCCGTGTGCTACCATGCAAAGGTCACTATCAAGAATATTCTATTTCATCATTGTCCCATTCAAAAAAAAAGAAAAAAAGAAAAAAAAACAAACAGAAAAACCCACCTTGTTTCTATCTAATTCTACATATGACTCCTACCCGTTTCAAACCCAATATTTAATTTATCAAAACCAATTAATAACAACTTCTTTAAACTTCAACAAATTTAGCTTCGCTTATTCGAATTAACTTTTTCTCAAACCTAATATATATGATTAAATACGACCTATTCAACAAGACACATATTAATATACTTTTCATCACTTTATCAGTGTCTAAATATTTGACCTTGTCAGGTCTAAAAGTGTAATTGGCGATTCTGTGGATAAAACGGACTAAATTATATAATTGTAAAAGTCAGGAACTTAATTGAATATTGGTGTAAAAGTCAGGACTTAGGATGCAATTTGTATAGATGAGGTAAATTAGTGTTCGAGTTGTTGAAGGAGTCCAAGATGTCCAAGAAGATCACACAAAATCATCGGAATGCAATTGAAAGTCTAAATGATATCAAAGAGCTGCACAAAATATGTTCTAGATTTTCAGTCATAACTTGCAATGTATTTTTCACATAAAAAATGTTGGAATTTGGACAAGGCTACCTCTAAAAGAATTATATCCCTTTGAGTTAGCTTTCTAACTCAACTTGAATCACCTCAATCGGACATCGGATGAGAAAGTTATGATAAAAATATTGATAACTGTTCACTGTCACTCGCTTCTCGCTAGCATTTCGCTCGAGCGACACTCCTATGCGGTAAAAATCCTATTTCGCATTTTTGAAGTGTTTTATTTGGCCCATACCACCTAGACATTTTCAAATATAAATACTCAAGCCCTAGGACAAAATTTTAGAGGTTGCCATATTATTCTTTGAGTGCATAACATCTTCATATCTTTGTTCAAGAGATCTAAGGCGAAATCAATTAGAGAATTCTTCAACATAATTCTTGTGATCTGGCAACCATTGTTTGGGAAAAAACATTGAATCTACATAACTCAAACCACCTTACTTCCTTAATCTATTGAGGAAGGGACTCTCTCATTGGAGGATTGAGAGAGGTGGATTGAGGCGCAGTTACAAGCACAAGAACGGATGGTTCTTGGTGTTCCACTTGGTGATGTAATCAGCTAAGGACCAGGAAGTTGTAGTGGACAGTAGATTGGGTTGCAGGAGGTAGATTAGGAAGTCTAGTCGGAGGCTAGAAGTATCTACAGCAATAGATCGTGAGATTGAAACAGTGGGTCTGATTGGGTACGAAGTTTGGTATAACTTGTACTTGTTGAATTGGTATAATGGAGGTAACTGGCTTGGTCCTGGAGTTTTACCCACGTTGGGGTTTCTCCGTCATCATATTGTTTGTTATTTATTGCTTTGCATAATATACAAATTGTGGCATTCCAACATAGGTCTAGATGAGTATCTCATTGAATGTGCCGCCCCACTTTGATGGTAGTAATTAAGCGTATTGGAAGGTGAGAATGAGGGCGTTTTTGAAATCTTTAGATGAGCGTGTTTGGCAAATTGTGGTAAATGGTTGGTCAGTCCCTAGTACCACAATAGATGGTGTAGTCACTCCTACCCCTATCGAGAACTGGTCTAGAGCTCAATTGGATAGCTATAATTTAAATAGCAAAGCCCTTCATGCCCTATTTATGGCAGTTTCCCCCGAAGAGTTTAGGAGAGTGTCCATGTGTGAGGTAGCAAAGGAAGTATGGGATATTTTAGAAACCACACATGAGGAAACTCAGGCAGTTAATAGTTCTAAGCTGCAGATGTTGGCCACTGGGTTTGAAGAGATAAGAATGAGAGACGATGAGATGTTTGATATCTTTTATGCGAGCTTAAATGACATAGTAAATTCATCATTCAACCTAGGTGAGAAAATCTCTGAGCCTAAGATAGTGAGAAAGATTCTTAGATCCTTACCTGAGCGTTTTAGGCCTAAAGTCACGACAATTGAGGAAAGTAAGGACATAGACACTATCAAGGTAGAAGAGTTAGTTGGATCCCTCCAGACCTATGAATTGACCTTAGACAATCCAGCTAAAGAAAAATCCACAGCCTTAAAAAGCGCTAGGAATATCCGGATGGAATATTCTTATTCTGATTCACCCAATGATGAGGAGATGGCCTACCTAACTAAAAAATTTCAAAAAATGTTTCGGAATAGGAAGAAGCTTCAAGAGAGACAAAGAGGTGACCGAAGTGAATCTAGGAAGAACTCTAAATCTGTGAGATGCCATAACTGTCATGGTTTCGTTCATGTGAGAAATGAGTGCCCTAGTGCTAAGAGATTTGAAGAGAAGGCTATGAATACTACTCTCACAGATGACGAGTCTAGCTCAAAAAATTAGAGTGAGAAATCTACCCGTGAGGAGAGTGAAAAATATGTGGCCTTCGTTGCTAGGGGTAAAAGTGGATCCGATAAGGGGAGTGAAAGGACGGAGGATTTAGATAGTAGTGAAGATTCTGGTGATAAGAGTGGAAGTGTGGAAGATCTAGAAACAGCCTATGATATGATGTATGAGGAAAGCTTCAAGATCTTAGCCACTAGCCAAGCAATGAGCAAGAAAGTGAAAGAGCTTAAACTAGGGAAGGAACAGTTAGAGGCCTGTGTTAGTGATCTCACCAGTAAGAATGAGATGTCCTCTAGGAGAGTAAGTGAGCTGACCATTGTGAATGAGACCTTAGCTATTTAGGTTAAACACCTTGAGAGTGAGCTAGAGTTGTCTAGGTTTCAGTTACTTGCCTTTTCTAGTAGTTCTGAAAGGCTAGATAATATTCTAGGAATGGGCAAGCCGACTGGTGATAAGGGAGGTCTAGGTTTTGATCTGAATGTTGTTAGTACATCACAGACCACCTTTGTTTGTGCTACTAACCAGCCAAACATTGTGACTAACCCTATACCAAATGTTGTGGGAACTTCAGGACGTAGGTCTACCAGACGTCGTAGGACTCGTCGGCCTAGGAATAGAAATCAGCGTAAGCATATCACAGGTCCTAGGTTTATCCCTATACGTTTTCACTGTGGAGAGTTAGGTCACATCCGCCCTAAGTATCATCACTACCTGAACAATAGGAAAGACTTGAGCTTGAAAAAGAACAAAAATCAGGTGTCTGTTGGTCAAATTGGATTCCTTACTGATCAAGTGAATCATTTGACTCAATTGATGACACAGTTATCTGGAAACAATCCTCCCTCTAGACAGGCTTGGGTGAAGAAAAGCAATCTCTCAAATTTGGTTAGAGATCGTGGTGCTTCTAAAGGAAAGATCACTTATATACCTACTTGATTAGGTATTTTTGATGCATGCTTGGTTTTTAATTGACATATAGTTGTTGCATGCATCACATGTATATTGTTTGTTTTTGTTTTGTTGTTTTTCATGCATGTGCATTTTCACCTACGAGTTTTGGCGAATGTATGTTTATTTTTGTCTTTGTGTGCTTGACTTTATTTTATTTTATGTGTGGAGCATTCATTTTAAGAAAAACGAAAAACACAAAAACATTGAAAATTTGAAAAAGACAAAAATAATTGGTTATGAAAATTTCTACAGCATGACACATGACTTAGAGCTTGCATGTTGTATCATGTAGGAGCTAAAATTTATAAACTGTAGAATAATTTTCATTGCTTGGTTAGGTCTAGTTGGATTAATATGTATAAGTGTCTTCATGTACCATCTGCACTGCACACACTATGAATTTGTTAGTGGGACGCTACCGCGTGTGTGAGATTTGGGATGGCTGTCACATGTTGATAGAGTGACTTTGAACATGAATTGATCAATTTCTATAGACCTTAACCCAAAAATTTCCCCCAATTTTAAATGCTCATATCTTAATGTTCTTCTTCGAGGCTTATTTGGCTCGAGCAATTAAGCTGCGGGGTCTCTTAAAACCTGGTGTCTATGGTCAACTGATTTGGGTTAACCGGCCTAAAGCTCGTTACAAGAGTCATCTTAGTCACCTAATGGAAAAGAACCTGCACGTAAGATGAAAAATTAATGAGCTGGAGAAATGAGAAAAATATGAAAAATATGATGAGCTGAAATACTTTGAAAAATTGAAAAACAAATAAGCTCATAGTAAGTGGGAGATAAGTAAAAATAATAAGTGTAGGTCCTACTACGCGTTACATGGTTTGACTCTCATTAGTAGGAGAACATACTTATTAGCAGTGATTGACATGTCCCTTCTCACAAAATTAAGGTTTGGAGTCCTGCTTGTATTGGATCAGTGACACTTTACACACATGAGTCATTTATATTATTACTCTATTTTGGATTGAACTAAGTATGTGAGGAGTTATACTACTTGTTAATTTTTCTTTTACATGCTATCAATTGCATTCTTGATTATTATGTGTTATTGCTCGACTTGGCCTTAATGTATCTCCCTTCAGCATTTGTGACAAAAAGGGAGAGAGAAATGTGTAACTGAGGGAGGGGGATAAAAATAAGAATGATTGAGCATACACATAAGAGAGCTACTGCATTTGCAATGTGCACATGATTTCATTTATTGACATTACTTGCATTGCACTGCTATGTTTAGGGGTCGTTGGGGAGAGACATAAATATATTTACCTACTGCATAAAAACATGAGAGTTTGCAATAAGGGGAGCGTTGGGTAATTGGTGGTGTTCGTATTTCGGTTGGTGTTTTGATTGGCATCAATATCATGTCTCAAGCTAGCATGTTGAATTGTGATTAAGTGTTTCAATTGTTATATTTCTTGTATCACGTGCTTTTACACTGGGTATATGAGTTGTGGATTTCAGGAAATAGGCACAAGAAGGAATGCAAGACACGGTTATTAGAATTACTGGATAGCATAGTTTTGGTTGTTAAGTCCTGACTTATTTTGTATAGTCATGACTTCATTTGTATGGTTTTGTCACAGAATGTCAAAGGGGGAGTTTTTTTAGGTCTAAAAGTGTAATTAGCGATTTGTGGACAAAACGGACTAAATTGTCTAATTGTAAAAGCCAGGAACTTAATTGAATATTGGTGTAAAAGTCAGGGACTTAGGGTACAATTTGTATAGATGAGGTAAATTAGTGTTCGATTTGTTGAAGGAGTCCAAGATATCCAAGAATATCACACAACATCATCGGAATGCAATTGGAAGTCTAAAAGATATCAAAGAGCCGTACAAAATATGTTCCGAATTTTCAGTCATAACTTGAAATGCATTTTTCACATAGAAAACGTTGAAATTTGGAAAAGGTTATTTTTAGAGTTATCTTTCCAATGCAACTTGAATCACCTCAATCGGACATTAGATAAATAAGTTATGATAAAAATACTGATAACTGTTCACTGTCGCTCGCTTCTCGCTGGCATTTCGCTCGAGCGAAAAAAACAGAATACCTCTAGCTCGATTCTCGCTAGCATCTTGCTCGAGCGATACTCCTATGTGGAAAAAATCTTATTTCACATTTTTTAAGTGTTTTACTTGGCCCATACCACCTAGACACCTTCAAATATAAATATTCAAGACCTAGGACGAAATTTCTGAGGTTGCCACATTATTCTTTGAGTGCATAACATCTTCATATCTTTGTTCAAGAGATCTAAGGTGAAATCAATTAGAGAATCATCAACATAATTCTTGTGATCCGACAACCATTGTTTTGGGGAAAAACATTGAATCTATATAACTCAAAACACCTTACTTCTTTAATCTATTGAGGAAGAGACTCTCTCATTAGAGGATTGAGAGAGGTGGATCGAGGTGCAGTTACAAGCAAAAGAACGGATGGTTCTTGGTGTTCCACTTGGTGATACAATCAGCTAAGGACCAGAAAGTTATAGTGGACAATAGATTGGACTGCAGGAGGTAGATCGGGAAGTCTAGCAGGAGGCTAGAAGTATCTACAGCAGTAGATCTGAGACTGGAACAGCGGGTCTGATTGGTACAGAGTTTGGTATAACTTGTACTTGCTGAATTGGTATAGTGGAGGTAACTGGCTTGGTCCCCGAGTTTTACCCACGTTGGGGTTTCTCCGTCATCATATTATTTTTTATTTATTGCTTTGCATAATATACAAACTATGGCATTCTAACATAGGTTAATTGACTTGTATGATTAATCACCTAGACAACTAATTAAAGTGACTTGTTGCTTTAGTTAGATTAATTCCGCACGTAAGGTCAAATTGGTTAAAGTGAAATATAGAACATAAACTTGGTAATGCATAAAATTTGAACTTGATACTGTATCACGTTAGTCAAACTTTCAGCATATCGAAGCGGTCTAGGTCAAATTTCTTTCAGACCCAAATTTTGAATTTAATATATATATCACTTTAATTCTCCAACTTTTCAAAATAGTAAAAATATAGCATATAGAACAAGAAATTCTGTCTATAAATATATTTATTTTCTGGTTTTATAATCTCCCCTCCTTTAAATATTTTTATCCTCCAAAATTTACCTTAGCTAATCGAAGAATTTTGGAAATTTGGCTTTATGCTCCTCTTCATTCTCCCAAGTTGACTTGTAAGGTCTATGGTTTTGCCATTAAACTTTATCCAGGGAACCCTCTCTATTTCTTAATTGGTGTGTTTTATTGGTGTTGCTTTTAGAAAAAACTTTGTTACTCACCTTAGATTCCATACCTTCAGCACAACTTTTCTGTCAGTCTTATGCTGTCTTTATTCTTGCTCTAATCTTGTCAACTGCCTCAACTATTCATTTACTGATTTCGAAACCCAAAATTCTATTCTGTTTGACCTCATCTCAATGGATAGCTGATCTGCACTTCCTACCATAAAAAAATTCATATAGGGCCATGTTTATAATGGCCTGAAAACTACTGTTGTAGGCAAACTCTACTAATAGCAGATGTGTTTCTCAACTATCGATACGATCCAAAATATATGCCCTCAACATATCTTCAAGAGTTTGAATGGTTCTTTTTGATTGTCCATCCGTCTGTGGATGATAAGTGGTACTAAACTACAGTTTCATCACCACGCCTGCGTGCAAACTTTTCTAAAATTTCGATGTGAACCTTGGGTCTCTATTTGAAACAATGGTGAAAGGAACTCCATGCAATCTGACTATCTCTCTGATATATAATTGTGTGAGTTGTTCCACATTGAAATTTACTTTGATTGGTAGAAAATAGGCTGACTTCGTTAAACTATCATTACTACCCTTATAGAATTGTAACATCTTGTTGATCTCAAAAAGCCTACCACAAAGTCTATCACATTGTGTTTCCATTTCCATTCTAGAATATGCAACAGCTTCCATAGTTCTGGTGGTCTTTGATGTTCTACCTTGACCTGTTGACGGACAACACATTTCTCCATAGGCCAATTCCTCTTTTCATGTTTTCTACTAAAATGTATCTCGAAAATGGATGATAAGTAGTACTAAACTATTGTTGTAGGCAAACTCCACTAGCGACAAATATGTTTCTCGACTATCGATAAGATCCAAAATACATGCATGCCCTCAACATATCTTCAAAAGTTTGAATGGTTCTTTTTGATTGTCCATCCGTATGTGGATGATAAGTAGTATTAAACTACAGTTTCATCACCATGCCTGCCTGCAAACTTTTCTAAAATTTCGATGTGAACCTTGGGTCTCTATTTGAAACAATGGTGAAAGGAACTCCATGCAATCTGACTATCTCTCTGATATATAATTGTGTGAGTTGTTCGACATTGAAATTTACTTTGATGGGTAGAAAATAGGCTGATTTCGTCAAACAATCATTACTACCCTTATAGAATTGTAACATCTTGTTAATCTCAAAAAGCCTACCACAAAGTCTATCACTTTGTGTTTCCATTTCCATTCTAGAATATGCAACAGCTTCCATAGTATTGGAAGCCTTTGATGTTTTGCCTTCACCTATTGACGGACAACACATTTCTCCATAGGCCAATTCCTCTTTTCACGTTTTCTACTAAAATGTATCTCGAAAATCTCGAAAATGTATCTCAAAAATCTTGATACATTTTTGTACGACATGGATGTGCATCATAAGACGTAGAGTAGGCCTCTTCTAATATCTCGTTTCTTATAGCATCATCCATAAATATACATAATCTTACTTGAACGGTCAATGCTTTATCTTCAAATACTTCAAATCCTACAGTTTGTACCAATCTCAGCCTTATCTTCTGCAGAAAATGATCATTATCCTATGCTTCTTTGATTCAATCCTGGAGAGTAAGATGAATCATAGATGCTTTTATTCTCACTGTAGTCTGGGTTGAAGGCATGATGACTTCCAATCTCAGTTTCTCAAAGTCCCTTATTAAGT